GGGGGGGGGGGGGGGGGGGGGGGGAGACTGGCATTACATAGCTTGAGCCTTGCAACAAATTTAGACTTTTGAAAAGACATGCTGTCTTATTCAGAGAAAGTTTCATGAAATTAGAATTACTTATGTAAATACCAATTTGACTATAGCAGTATATTTGCTGTGACATCCATTTCTATTTCATAGCAAATTCAAAGTCATCATGGATAGTATTTAATGACAAATTACAGAAATACCATGACTGAATTTCCTAGTCCTACTTTTATAGTACCTACTTTTATAGTCCCATAGTCTCTTTCTAATCCCCCAATCTTCTCATCCTTGCAATTTTTCACTAGGTTTTAAAATATCTTTGTGCCCTACTTCTGCTGACAGCATTGCATGCTCTGCTTTGAACTCAAAGTGTACTGATTATTTTGCTAACAATAGCAAAATATATGATGCTTCCTTGTGTCCTCCAATGCCATAACATGCCTGCCCACTTTTGTAGCTTAGATGATGACAGGGCTCTAGAAGAGCCTTATAATTTACCATTCCTTGTAATAAGAAACAGTTGATAGGTAAACAAGTATTATCCACATACCATAAAATGCAATAGGGACTTTTTAAAATTCCAGTCAATTAAGTTATTTTCACTTGATGGATCTTCACATTCATACCACACTTGGAAAGGGACTGTTCCTATCATAGGAAAATTGTGATTTATGCTGTCTGGTGGGAAAGACAGCATGCTAGGAGTTCTTGAAACCTGAATTTATGGACTGCTTGGCAACGGAAGAGATGAGGCAAACATGAGTATGTAACTGAAGGAAGGAACAAATCTCTAGCAGGTCACAGCCTAAGACTAGCTGATCTGCTTTGGCTTGTTGGGTCTTGACTGCTGCAGGCATGAAACAATAAAAATGTTTCACATCTTTGGGTGCCTTTTTCTGGCAAGAAAGAGACTGTCAGGCCAAGAAAAAAAGAAAGTAATCTGTTGTGCTTGCATAAAGTATGACCTGAGTCAACTACAGCTTATAAAACATATGAAGTTGCATCAATGCTCCATTCAGTCTGTACTGCCTATTTTGAATGATGGTAGCTTTCCTTCATATGCTATTTAAGATTCTCAGTGAATGCTGAAAGTCATGTTCAATAACATTGTTCTATTCCACTGTCTTGTCTTAGAGCAACAACTTCCAAGCTAGCATTTAGAAGAAAACTGTAATGACAGCAATATATTCTCCATCCCCATCTCATCCCATCCACTCATGATAGGCTACAGGGGCCTCCTTGGGTAAAAGTGGACAATCTTCTCTGAAGCAAGGAAACATTGGCATTGGCTGCGAGAAATGGCACAGCAAGATAGGGAGGCTAAGCTGCAGAAAACAAGTTGCCTGTGGCAAGATACACACTAATAGATACATTCAGAAAAAGGAGCTGGATGAATGATTTGGCTAAACGAGTAAGTTAAAAGCAAATTAAACACAGAGTTTGAGCAAAAGCAGGGCACTGCTTTTCAGAAAAAAACTAATCTTCATGCCATAGCCTTCATGCCAAGAAAAATGTTGTAACTTTTTTTGGGGGGGGGGTGCCTTCAAGTCATTGTTGTCTCCTGGCAACTGCCTGGACAAGTCCTTGCAGTTGTCTGGGCAAGATTTCAAAAGTAGTTTGCCATTGCCTGCTTCCTAGGGCTGAGAGCATATGCCTGGCCCAAGGTCACCGAGCTAGCTTTGTGCCCAAGGAAGGACTAGAACTCATGGTCTCCTGTTTTCTTAACCACTGCATCAAACTGGTTCTTGTCCTAAGAATTCTGGGCAAAAAAAGAAGTTAAAGGAACTACAATAAGCAGGTACCAAGAGTCTTATAAACGCTGCATATGAAGAAACAGCAAACCGAAGAGTAGTTTGGACCAAAGCCTCAATGGTAGAAGAGCTACACCCTACCAGGTAACAGTGGGAGACAAGCTTCTAAATTCTAGAGGAAGACTGAGATATCTCTTATTCTAAATATGGGATGTACCTGTAAGAACTAAATTTCTTTCTTTGGTTAGATTATTTCCTGCCTACTTCTGTGAATGGTGGACAGGCCCTGTGCAAGTGGAAATATCCCCGAAATGGTATTCATGCATATTTCTTTTTAGTGTAGAAACCTATTTACTCCAAGAAATTTTTCTTTTACATAAATATTTTGCAATAAAGACACATGAAATTAAAGTACATAGGTGAAAGCATTGGACATTCAAGAACTCTGTGGCTGCTTGTTATGGAACCTGAAACAATATTTCTTTACCATTTTCCCAAACTGGAAACAAGTTTGCTTCTTCCTCAGTGACTGAAGACAGTGAATGGTATTTGAGAATATGTACTTTCCTATACCTAAACAATCTTTCTAAAATTGCTACGTTTTTAAACTAGTATATATTGCAATTATCATTTTACCTGGGAGAATAACCTCCTAGGCTCAGTATATGATGTAAATACCCTCTGACATTCCCATTTTCAGTCTCTTGATTGGATGATTGAAGATAGGCACACACATTTTTACCCCAATGATAAAAATTATAGAAAATGTTACCTACATTTTACAGTTGAAAAGAATTTAGTAATGTACCTACCTACCACAGACTTAAGAACAAAGTTAAAAGTTTCACATAAGAGAATTCAGAGGCAGGCAAAACATGTGTCCTTGGGAAACACTACAGCTATTTTAGATGGTTTGTGGTTAAAATTGAGGAGTAAAATAAATGCTAATTGAAAATTCCCATGTATTCTGTAATGATTTGCGGGACCCTCTCTCCAATTTGTGTAAGTCCAAAACAGCGTCCATGTTTCTGTCAAGCGTCTCTCCTTTCATCTCACACTGCGTAGCGTTTAGTGAGAAATTTGGGAAGAAACCACTTACCAGCACTGCAATTTCATTTACATCATCTGTCACCGGATTCCCACAGGGACTTTGGGCTTTAACAAGAGGATGAAGTAGGAGCAATTGAAGATAAAAGCAAGTGATAATCCAAGTCTGTGAAAAGCGAGAGAGTAGCTGCTTGGTGACTATAGTAAAGACAAATTACGTAGTAACAACATACAAATACACTTCAGAGATGATTTCTTTTTTCTTTTTGGCTCTTTAAATAAAACTACTTTCTAAAGTTATGAAACTTCAGAGAAGTGTAATAGTAACAAGTGGACTTAGATGACAATAGTTTCAGAAACCAAAGCGAGCTTCCAAAGCAAATGTGGTATCTTTAAAACTTTCATCATGCCCTCAATCCTATCATCACTGCTATCTATTCAGGGGGGAAAAAAGCAGAAAAATATGTTTCTTACCTTGAAGCAAAAGACTCTTATTTTACATATATTCTGATAGTGTCTGAACTAGTAGTGATGAATTGGAAAAGACAGGTCTTGAAAAAATACCTGGATTTGTTGTGCTACGGCTGAAAGTAAAGGCAAATTCCAAGCAGGGTACTATCAGGAACTAACCGTGGTAATATGTCATGCCTCCACAGAAGCCTGTGATATGGTTGAAGGTGGAATAATGCATATAATTCTGACTGCCTTATCTCAAAAAGCGAACTTCATCGTTAGAAAAAAAAGTGCAGGAAATGCATCCAAAAATCAATTGGTGGAAAAAAATAGAAATAATATTAGCTAGTTTCTTTTCACTTTTGTAAAATTGAATTTTTGTAATGATAATAGAATCCTTGTTGGTATTGTAAAGTATTTGCACTGCTTACATTATGATGACAATAGAATAAATCCATAGATATCTATAACATGTTAATTAGCCATATAACCATATACATGGTTACTTTTTATGCTTAGATAATTACCACTCTATGAAGGAAGTAGACTATAGAAGTTTATCTGTAATTCATAATATATTACAGGATTATTTATTAAATTAAGCTAAATGATAGGAGCTATACAACAGATAAGGAAACGCAAGTTTCATATAACACACATTCATCTGTGGTAACTAGATTTTTCCCCATGGAGGGTGCTATAGGGTAAAATGAATACCTTAAGTCTTTCTGACAAGGCTGTAGAAGAAAACCAAGTGCATAAGGCACCTATTTATTGTTTAAACTTTGTCCAAAGCACTCCCCTGCCCCCACAACAAAGATTTGAAAAATAAAGCCCATTCCATTGATGTTCAGTAGCAACAGGCACACTCTCTATGGCTCTAGGCAGAGTAGAAAAAGGCTTAAAACAAATCAAAAGACACACAAAAATTCACTCCAGAGAATCAAACGAATCTTAGGGCATCAACAAATCAAAACAAATCTTAAGACATTTCTACAGATTTCATATTTGGATATTTGTGCACACACAAGATATAATGTGGATGTTAAAAGTGTGAGACAGATGCTTATGGTATTTAAGTCTTATCTCTGATAAGAACTCAGGATGACTTTAAGCAAGCTGTCAGGTTTAGATTATCAGGAACTAACTGGCAAAGTTGAATTAAGATAGAAAATGAAAAGTTCTTATCATTAACATGCTGGAAAAGTGAGAACAGTGCATAATTTCATTCACACAGCAGGGCCAATGACCCCTCATTGGCCATATGCACACCATAGTTTGTTTTAACCATAATTATTATGACTGTTGATTCCATCAGCCAGTTTGATTAAATACATACAGTAGTTATAGACCGCCCACTGGAATAATTACTTGTGGAATTAGCTACTGACCACAAACATTAGACAGATGAAGGCATTTGTTTTGCCTAAAATGATCTTTGAAAAACAGTTTTCCATTACTGACTTCCTGTCATAAAATGCCTAGCATAGTACTCGACTGGAGACTCAGTTGAAATCTCTGCAGAAAAATGTGCACTTGCAATATGTCAAGAGTGGAACTGAGGCAGAAGAAAAAAAGTATAATCAAACTTTATCATGGAACAGTTTTATGTCTATAACTAGATTTTGATACTTGCTAAAATCTCTAGGCAAATGAATAACTTTGAAGAAAGTAAAGAAAACCTGAAAATCAGGACCTACTTCTCATGTTTAGAGTGCCTCATAAAAGTCTCCTGAAATTGTTTCTATGTGGTAAATGCTCCACAAAGATTTCCACTTCATGAGTAATGGCTTGTCACGCAGCATACACACAACCATGTCAGGAGAACTTTAAATGATATACCTAGCACCTAGCCTAACAGTCTCTGTTATAGACCACATGGTTTAAGCTTCAGAACCTTTTTCAGATTCAAAAAGAAAACACGGCTGATAAACAGTAGTATGTTTGCATATTATGAGCAGCTGGTAATGTAAATATTAAGTGAGTGCCAGAAGTGCCAAAGGACAAGTACATACCAGAATTCAGGAAGACCTGATTGCTTACACCTGGCATACCTAAAACACAAAGCCATCTTGTAGTTTTTCCTGTCCAAAAGAGTCCAATGACTAGCCTGCTTAGGCACTACTTAATGTTTTGATGCAGTGGCATTCACAGGTTCTCATAGCTTTCATGGAGGCCGAGCAAAAGGGATCAGAGTGATGCAAGCAATGTAGATTGCACGCTCTGTCCTTCTGGGGCATGTGTCTGATGTTGCAATGCACACAGAAAGGCCTGGGGCTCAAGTCAGATTTTTCCTTGCCCACCTGGGTATGCTGCCAGCTTGGTGGTTTGTGATCTTCTTTTTAAAAGGTTCATCTTCTACCCTCAATTTTCATGAACTACTTAGAAAATTATCTTTTTTAAAAAAATAATTTATACTAAAAGATTTTGCATACATAATAAATACATTCAAAGAAAAAATATATAATAAAGTAAATGTGAAAAAGAAAAAGGAAAAGGAAAGGAAAGGAAAGGAAAAGAAGAGACAAAGGAAAAGAAAGATAGAAAAAGAAAAAAGAAAATTGAAGAACAGAAAACATGAAATAGATATAAATACAGAAAGAGGTAGAGGTAGAGGGAGAGGGAGAGGGAGAGGGA